CCCAACTCACAGCAATTTAAACATGGAATAAGTCTCAGGAGAAACTGAGGCACAGGGATGCTTACCAAGAGTTTGTGGGGTAAAGAACAGGACACCTGGGTTCTCTCCTCATTTGTGGGGGGAGTTTGATCGGGAGTGGGAGCCCAGACACCCGGGTCCTCTCCAGCAGGAGGAGAGTGGGGTCTGGGGGGGTCAGAGGAGGGGGGCTGGGAGCCTGGGGTGCCTCCAGCCCTGGGAGGGCAGCGGGAGGTGGGGTTAGAGCAGGGGGTCTGAGCCCCTGGATTCTCCCCTGGCTCCAGGACAGGGGTCCAAGGCAATTATAACGGGGGTGGGGGGCTGGAAGCCTCTGGGAAGACAATGGGAAGAAGTGGACAAGCCCCGGGTTCCTGGGTTCCCACTCCAGACTCTCCGGCACCTTCCTGCCACCTCCACCCCTCCTCCAGGGACGTACCTGTCTCGATGGTCTGGGCGAACATCTCGAGGCCCTCGAGGGGCTGGGGCGGCTCCTCGGGCTGCTCCTTGAGGCACTCCTTGGCCAGCTGCAGACTCGTCGTCATGCCTGAGGCCCAGCTCTGAGCTTCCATGCCCGCAGAGCCTGTGGGGAGGAGGGGGGCAGGGGGTCAGACCCCCCATTGCCATCCAGGGACCAGGAGGAGCTGGGAGCCCAGACACCTGGGTTCTCCCCAGCTCTGGGCGGAGAGTGGGGACTGGTGGGTCAGAGCAGGAGGAGCTGGGAGCCTGGACACCTGGGTCCTCCCCTAGCTTCTGCATGTACGTAGGGAGAAGCTTAGATTAGGGGAGTTGGGAGCTTGGACGTTTGGGTTCTCTCCGGCTCTGGGAGGGGCATGGGGGATGGCAGGATGAGAGCTGGGGGCCCGGATGCCTGGGCTCTCTCCAGCTCCGGGCTGGGGTCATATGCTTATGGGAGAGTGGCTGTCATTGCTTCAGGACCGACAGTGCCCCCTACTCACAGCAGGCAGCCTCCCATCCGGCCCCCAGCTTGGTCTATCCCTGTTTAGCGCAGGCTCCAAGGGGGACCCTGGAGTCCTCACAGGTCCCCTCCCTACCCCTTACCTGTGCGGTCCTTGGGGCGACAGGTGACCTGGAGCCCCGTGACCTCCACAGTGCAGTTCTCAGTGACCAGCGCGGCCCAGGGGATGGCGACCGAGATGCTCTCGATGAAGCCATCGACGATCTCCAGCGGGGCATTGGCTGACTCCAGTAGCTCGTTCACAGACTGTGGAGAGAGGACGGAGCCATGATATGCGACTGATTCGGGGTGGGGGGTGGGAAGAGCAATAGGGCTGAGGGCATGTGGGCCCTTGCCAGGATTGTGGCTGGCTCTGGGGTGGGATGCAGCACCAACCAAGTGTAACAGACACAGGCAACACTGGTGGGGGAGGGCAGGTGTCAGGGCTGGGAGGTATGGGGCCCCTCCTACCACAGGCTACTTGAAGAACTCCCCTGCTAGGGGGAGGGAAACTGAGGCAGGAAAGGGGCCTCACATCACATAGCAAGCCAAGGCATGACAGACAAAGAACCCAGGTGTCCGGGCTCCCGCCCCCTGCTCCCCTCCTTGAGCTAGGGAGAACCCAGGCATCCGCATGACTCAGACCCTGGGCCAGACGGGGGCGCTGACCCTGCACCCGGATCAGACCGGCTGGCCCAGATTCCAGCTCATGCGCGAAACAGGACTTCCTGTTTCTCTTGGCCATTCCCTGAAGCCGCACCCCAGAGCTGGCTGCACCTTGGCCACAGAACCCGGACACCTGGGTTCTCTCTTCTCCCAGGCTCTGGCATGCCTCCGTGGCCTCCTACCTGGGACCGTTGTTCTTGCAGATCCCCTGGGACCGGGTCCTAACGAGGGGGGCTAATTAATCCCCTGGGAACACTAAAAATTAACAGGGTCCCAGTTGGAATCTGGGGGGGGGTCCTCCATAGGCTGGTCCCCCCCCAGAAAGGGCCCAGAGCCCCCCCAGAATGAAGCCAGTTCCTCCATCCTGCCAGGTGGACAGAGGGGTGTGCCCCAACTGCTCCACCCAGCCCTAGATACAGGCTCCCCAGTCATCGCCCGGGAAACTCAGGCAGGGGCTCCCCAATGGCTGGGGGCAGAACCCAGGTGTCTGGGCACTCCCCAACCCCCCAGCCAGGACACAGGCAGACGGGGGTGCTTGCGCCTTCCTGGAAAGCTAAGAATAGGCTGGGGGGGAGGGGTCACGGGGACAGGTGGAGGCTGGGGGCCCGGACGCCTGGGTTCTCTCCAGCTCTGGGAGGGGAGTGGGGGCTGGTGGGGAGAGCAGGGGGCTGGGAGCCCGGCCCCTGGGCTCCCTCCAGCTTTGGGAGGGGAGCGGGGGCTGCAGGACAGAGTGGGGTGGGGGGGAGCCGGGAGCCCGGGGGCCTGCGTTCCATGCCAGTACTACCAAGTGGAGCTGGAGCAGGTGGGGCTGGGAGCACGGACGCCCAGGTTCTCCCCCCAAAGGCTCCAGCCCGGGGCCCGGTTGGGAGGCCGGTTTCCCCACGTCCGGCTGGCGGAAGCACTGAGGCACTGCAGGGTCATGTGCCACCCAGGGCAGGGTGAGCTTG